TGACTAGCAAGCTAGAACCACGACAGGGCAATGAGCAGTAGAAAAGGTTTCCTTTAAATACCCTGTTACCTAAATAGAGACCACGCCCCCAAAAGGTCCGGAATAGCGGTTCCCGGCACTTCATGTAAATGCCGACGTTATGACGTCGACGCTAGCCGTCGCGTCATAAAAGGGGGAGGAGCTAGCGCGGCCGGCGCGAAAACGGCCGGAATATGCCGAAATGCTAGGGGAAGGGAGCCCCTAAGCAGAGAGGATGTCCTCCCTGGATACATCACCAACAGGTACCCTGACAGTTTGTTATCTGTGTGTGTGTTATTTGTCTGTTTGTGTTATCTGTCTGTGTGTGTTATCTGTGTATTTGTTATCTGTCTGTATGTGTTACCTGTCTGTGTGTTTTATCTATCTGTATGTTATCTGTGTGTGTGTTATCTGTGTGTGTGTTATCTGTGTGTGTGTGTTATCTGTCTGTGTATGTTATCTGTGTGTTTGTTATCTGTGTGTGTGTAATTTGTCTGTTTGTGTTATCTGTCTGTGTGTGTTATCTGTGTATTTGTTATCTGTCTGTATGTGTTATCTGTCTGTGTGTGTTATCTGTCTGTATGTGTTATCTGTGTGTGTGTTATCTGTCTGTATGTGTTATCTCTCTGTGTATGTTATCTGTGTGTTTGTTATCTGTGTGTGTGTTATTTGTCTGTTTGTGTTATCTGTCTGTGTGCGTTATCTGTCTGTGTGTGTTCTCTGTCTGTATGTGTTATCTGTCTGTGTGTGTTCTCTGTCTGTATATGTTATCTGTGTGTGTGTTATCTGTCTGTATGTGTTATCTTTGTGGGTGTTATCTGTGATAAAAGAGATGGTAGGAGACTGCACCCCAAATAATATATAAGAAATATATATAAATATATAAGTACATAATTCTTTTGATAATTGGACACACAGTTGACCTCAAAGATAAAAACAAAAATTATACAATAGTGCAGTACAGTATAGTTGGTAAAGAGTGGTGAGATAATCTTATGTGATAGCACTCACATTTGTTAGAGCTACCTCAACTGTACTACGCATGCACGGAATAATCCCCGTCTAAGGATGTGTGTAGATGTGTAGAGGTCTCTGATGTCTCAAATAGGATGCAGTATGCAGGACATATATAAAAAAAATATAGAAAGATACTTCTATGGTGAAGTAAGTACTACTGGGTGTAAAAGAAGAATCAAGTAATGTATTTACATTTACTAGAGCAGAACTTGCTCTACTGTAAACAGCATGGGAGGTATGATCCCCACCTAAGGATATGATGGTGCCAGGAAGTAAAAATAGATAAGTAAAATATAAAATAAAATGTACTATTTATTATACAAAAGTACTAAAAACAACGGGTTCCACTGACGCGTTTCGCCTGTCCAAGGCTTCTTCAAGAGTGTAATGAAGTCCTCATAAGTTCCGTTTATATAGACAGTCTAATAATAGATTACTTCCTGGTGTGTGTAATTGGTGGCTTCCTGTAACCATCCCGGAACGCACGCGTCATACCGGAAGTGATGCAGCGTTATCCAGTATGGTATTCTGTGCGTTCCAGCTTGGAACACATACGGAGCCAAAATGGCACCGCTGCGTTCCGGTCGGGTTATACCGTAATAATGTGAGTAAGTCTCATGCAGATAAGAGCTGTAAGAATGTCTGTGTGGTATTCAATTAGGAATTGTCCTCTCATTGAATGCGATAGATTGATTTTTGGTCCGGGCGTGATGTCCACCGGAAGTGACATCACTTATGTTTTCATTCTGTTCCTCGCGTTCCAGAACAACGCATTCCATCATGTTGAAAGAGGGCAATATGTGGGAAAGGGAAAGTATAAACTGTATCAGGGATAAGTAATGAACATATGGTATTTCAAATCAACTTTAAATTCCAATAAGAATAGCTTGGTATATATTGATGATAAGATCATAAAAGTACTTAAAATAAAAATAAAATGGAGGGAACTATTAAAAATAAAACAAAAAGGTAAAAAGTTATTGGAATTTAAATTTACAAATAAGACCCTTAACAAAAGGCAGGATAACATGGTTGCCATTAAAATTAAGGATAAGACATAGTGACATACAATACATAGTGAAATATTAAGATCTTTATGCATGCTTCCTAATTCTAATATTGTACACAGAATGGACAAGTAAAACATTAATTAGTATTCAGGAATGGAAAATGGGTATTATATCAGAAAAAATGTGCCGAAAAAATAAAAATATAAATTTATTTCTATTTTTGATAAGAAAAATATTAAAAACAGGGGATGTTAATTATAAAAAATTAAATAAATCAAATTCTATATTTGACCCGTTTGGATGTAGAGTAACCATATAATAGACCTATTCTATTTCTGTTTCTCCGATTTTTTAAATAAAATCTCCACCTGTCCAGTGATTTTTTTACAGTAGAGATACCAATAAAAGTGAGATGCTTCTTTCATGCATGCAGAAATGAGATGACACCGAGTGATTGGTATGTCCTTTTTCTATGTTCCTGCAATGTTCCCCTATTCGGATTCTTAGTGGCCTAATGGTGCGTCCGATGTATTAGAGGCCACATGGGCACTTCAACAAATAAATCAAATTTTTGCTATTGCAGGTGATGGTATCTTTGATATTATATATTTTACCAGTATTTTTTGATTTGAAAGTGGTTCTTAGTCTTTCTGTTGGATTGTTTTTTTTACATGCTATGCATGAATTACATTTGTAAAAACCTTTATTTTGGGACATGAAATTATCAATTTTTGTTTTGTTGTCTTTGGCATAGTTTTTTGTAAGGTGCATTTTTAAGTTTGGTGCACCTCTAAAGACTATTTTTGGTGTTGCGGGAATTAGATTTTTTAGAATATCGTCCTCTTTTTAATAAGTGCCAGTGTTTATTCAGGATCTTTTTTAATTGTTTATTTTTATTATTATAGTCCAGCACTATGGGAAGTGAATAATTCGCTTGTCTTTGAATTGTTTTCTTTGTGTATAGGGTCTTTTTGGTTTATTGCTAGTGTTTGATTTATAGTAGACTCTATAGTTTTGGTGTCATATCCTTTTTAATCTCTTTTTAATATCTTCTGCCTGTTTTTTAAACGGTGGTTTCCAAACAGTTTCTTCTTGGTCTAATTATTTAGCTTTCGGGAATACTGTCTAGCCATACTTCATTATGGCAGCTTTTTTGTGTCTATGTAGTTATTAACATGTACCTCTTTAATGTGCGTCCTTGTGTTTATTTTGTTTTTTTAATTTTGTTTATTTTGTTATCTTTTATATAAATATTGAGGTCCAAGTATGTGATTTCACTATCACTAATATCTGCAGTTAAAAATATTCCCTCTTTATTGGAATTTTAAAAAGCTAAAAAATCTTGTGCTGCAGTAGGTGATCCTCTTCAAATAAAAAGGAGATCATCATGATAAAGGATGTCATGCAGTACGATCAATATTGGAGAAGGATGACTCTATGATGCAGGACCAAAGTAATTTTTTAATTGAAGGAATAAACTTGATTTTAGAAAATAACTATTTTTGGTTTAAAGACTGTTTTTATTACAAAAGAGAGGTACAGCTATGGGCAGAAGGTTTGCGCCCAGCTATGCAAACCTCTACATGGCAGAATGGGAAGAGAGGTATATTTGGGGTGGACATGGCTAGGCGAAAAACCTGCAATATAAATTTCTACTAAAGATATATTGATGATCTCCTTTTTATTTGGAGAGGATCAGCTACTACAGCACAAGATTTTTTTAGCTTTTTTAAATTCCAATTAACTGCAGATATTAGTGATAGTGAAATCACATACTTGGACCTCAATATTTATATAAAAGATAACAAAATAAACACAAGGACGCACATTAAAGAGGTACATGTTAATAACTGCCATAATAAAGTATTGTTAGACAGTATCCCCAAAAGCCAAATAATTAGATCCATCTTCTTCTCATCATTACAATGTCATAGGAATTAATTTATTTAGAAGATCATACCAAGAAATTGTCTTAAACATAGTCATTAATTCACAAGAAACATTACTGTTATTATATAAAGGTTTTCATTTAACTATTTAATTTTAGCCTAGGGTGTGTTATTAAATTTATATTGCAGATCTCGTTAAAAGTCATACATGTAATTGAGTCCTGTAGGACTCGCCCTTGAAGTGGATGCCATGTCACTTGCTTACATGGGACAACACCCATTTCATCGACAATAAATAGAGATTCATGGGTTCTCTCAGCACAGTCTACTACCTGCTCACAAGGTAAGCAATGCTAGTAACCTGCTCACAAGGTAAGCAATGCTAGTAACCTACTCACAAGGTAAGCAATGCCATACTTGGAGCATTCTGGACTGTCGGAGGGAACATCATGCGATAGATATCGTGCGATAGACATCCAACTTACTATGTGATAGATGTCATGTGATCGTGGTTTTGTGATAGGTAGCATGTAATTGTGATCATGCGATTGACCATGCAATGGACTTTATGTGATAGACGTAATGTGCTAGACCCGTGTGATAGACATCATGTGACCATACAATGCATGCTGGGTTTACAGGAATTTAATGTGTATATTGTAATGTAAGCAGTATATCTTAAAGCGGCACTATCACCATCTCGGGAATTTGCATTATTTGCAAAGAACCCGGACAGTGACATCGCCGGGGGAGGCAGACAAAAGTGAGTTCTACTTACCAGAACCTGTCCCTCGTGGGTGCCGCCATCCTTTTCTGGCCATGCTCAAAGGAGCTTACAATCTATCTCTAACTAAGATAATGCTATCCAGCCATTTAAGCTCTATTAGTCATTTGAAAGTTGCCGTTACTAATGTCCCAGTGACATTATATACATTATATAGTGATGGTGCACGTTAGAAGTATATTTAGTTTGCCATTGTCTTGGAGCCTAATATTGAAGTAGTCAGTCTGTCCTTGATGACTTTCCTTGGAATTAATATATCGTCTACCTGGAAAGCAACATGGAGCTTGATAGAACTGTAATTTGCTGATTTTATTCCTTTATACTGGAAGATGTGAAATTCACTTTGAACGTTTTTCAAGTCTTGATCTGCAGTTCTGGGATTACTAGTATCAGGGCGAGAAGCCATAGCGTGGCGTGTGGAAGCCCTTTTGTCAGTCATGTTAATTAACTGCTTAGTAAATAAGCCCCTCTGCTGAAAGCCATTGTTTAGTTATGTTTGAAAATCATGTTTGATCCCACCGTCATCTAACCAAAGAGGAATTAATCAAGTCTGACACTTCTGCTTGTTATTAAAGCAACTTAAATAATTCATGTGTCCCATAAAAATAATATTATATCTTATATTTTACAGAACATATACTGCCTATTGCGGTTGTCTGATGGTGTTTGTATCAAAGTACAGTGCTCCCCATTGCAAAAAATCACTGTTTGCACTCAGTCTTTAACTGTTCAGAATAAAAAATCCCATGATTTTAATTACATTACCTGCTAGTTTAATTTACTAAAAAGCGCTATGTGTCATTCAGATAGAATGGTCATGTGACTTGATATTGATGTATGGAGAACATCGATCTGTGGATGGGCTAGGGTGACCGGGTTTATGAGAATGAAATATCGTTTGTAAAAAGATCTGAAATTGATGGGAAGTCCAAAACGAAGCCACATATGTGATTTCTCTGTAGTAGGATACGCGTTTCTGTATGAATGCATCATGGCCAATTGCAACTTTTTCTCTCCATTGTCAATATTCTTCTTCTGTTGTGGTAGTCCCCCCCATTATCTTCTAACTGTGCAGCCATATCGCTTTAAATCCTCACTGATTAATACATCGTAAACACTAAATGTGTCTTCTCTATAGTCTCTTAGACATCATGATAAAATAAACGTCTGCATTTCTTATTCTCAGGCCTTTTGTCCAACCCTGTCTGGGAAAACAAGGCCAGTCGCAGAAATGGAAGGAGGTAAGGTTATTTCTTTAAATGGTTGATTTGCGGTAACAATGAGAAATGTCTTTCTATAAACATGTCCATGTTTTTATATGAAATCGTGACGATTCAATATGATGTGTTTTTGTATTTACAGCTCCAAACCCCTCCAAAAAGGTGAGCTGATCTCTTCTCTGTACATTCCTGGGCGGGCTCTGAATATCTTTAAAATCCTGTATTCCGTAGGTTGTATCCATGTTTCTGTTAACATGCGCCATCATCCTGTTCGCTCGTTACAGGCCATCTTATTCTGTTTTGTTTTATTTCTCGCTTCATTTTACTACATTTAAAATTAATTTCTCTTGTACCTTGGCTTCTTTTTACGTTTTTTGGGGTCTTTACTTTGTAAAAATATTTAAAATGTCCTTTTTGATCGCTTCATACATAATATTCTGATACCTCTTGTATGTTGCCAGGAGCCCAAATGTAAATAGAGAATTTAGAAAGTTACAATTTAAAGATTCATTAATGTCAGAGTCTGTGAACATCCCATGATTGCTTTTCTTTTTGAATTGAATTTCTCTCTGCTGGTGACTCTGGCTTGCCCTCTGTTTGCGCTCACATTACTAAATTGCCCAGACTCTCAGTGGCAGATTGTTCCCTACAGTGTAAGAAGTCCCTAAAACACGTCTCTATGGGAAAGTTGGTCATACGCCAGTAATTTCCCGTGAATTGCCAAATTACTATAGAAAAGGGGAATGGGCAGAATAGAGAGGAAAGGGTTCGGGAAGGGCACGTTTCCCAGAATTCTCTCCCGGTGCCATTTTTGTAGATTTTCCTTACACATGTTTTTTTCCATATATTGAATAGATGGTGGTGTCATACTTCTGCACACATTGATATGTACCTCGTGTGCTCCTTCCTCTAGATTGCAAGCTCTTTGATCAGAGGCATCCTTACCTCTTATAGCTGTTTGCATTAACTTGATAGTTTTTAATGTGTTGCTTTAAGATCCCCATTACACAGTTCTGTTACTAAATAAATATTATTAGAAATACAGTAATTCCATCAAGGTGCTGTTCTGTGCCTGTTCCTGGTACGAAGTTCATGGAGTTTGTTCTCACACCATTTATAATTACGCTGTTTTTTTTCCCTTTAGCCCTCTGGCAATAAGCAAAGCTTGGTAAGTAGGATTTCACTTTTATAGTAAAATGACAAACCTTGGTACTTTGTAGATAATTTAATCTTCTGAATCGTGGAGAGGGCACACAAAATACAAAATCAATGTTTAACTTTAAACAGGGAGGTGACACTTACTGCCCTTGCTCTAACAAAAATCCACAGTTTGGGGGTTTACTCTTATCTAATAGCTTCCTGTGTGTTATTTTATCAATGTGCTCTATTAAAAACAATATTTAATAATGTTTTAGAACACTGATCTCCAGTCCTCAAAGGTTCTGGTTTTAATGACAGTGTACCTGCTTGAACAGAATGGGAGCTAACTCCTAGACTGTGTGCTTGGAGAGGGAAATGATGTGCTAATTTCTATAGCAAATGGATATTTTAGTAACTTGATATCTTTTGCAGACATCTTGGGATGATAGTAAAGAAGACGGCAGCCAGGGCCGGGAACGAGGCCAACAAGGACAAGGACAAGGCTGCGGGGGGCAACAAGAACAGGGGCAACAGGGCCAAGGTTGTGCAAGTCAGGGTAGTGGGCAACAAGGACAGAATCAGGGTAGTGGGCAACAAGGTAGCGGATATCAACAAGGACAGAATCAGGGTAGTGGCCAGCAAAGCGGCTATGGCCAACAGCAGGGACAGGATCGCGGCAGTGGGGGTGACAACAACCAACAAGGACAGAATCAGGGTAGTGGCCAGCAAAGCGGCTGTGGCCAACAGCAGGGACAGGACGGCGGCAGTGGGGGTGACAACTACCAACAAGGACAGGATGGCAGCAGTGGGCGTGCAGGTTGGTTGGGAGAACAAGGACAAGGTAGTGGACAGGATGCTGGACAGGGACGTGGCAGTGATTCATCTTACTACTTTAGACAAGGAAAAGACAAGTAATGCACATGGTGTATAGCATCCATATATCCCTGTTTAATGTCCTCGCTTGTGCTGTATAACCTAACTCTATGTAAACTTATCCGTAACGCATCAAAATAAAAGCATTGTATCACGATCACTGCTGCAATGTCTCATTTACTGTGTCTGCAGAATCACACTTTCAATAATTCTTTGTTTAATGGAAAGAGGGGTTTATTTGATCTATTTTGCAACACAAAGGCGCAATGGGAGGGGCTCGATTTCCCAGATTAATTAGATGTAGCATAACATATGCAGAGGTCTTGGCTGCGTTCATGGTTACTTCTGTGTGGAAGGAAAATAGAAAGTGGGAAAACAGGAGAGGCAAAGGCATAGAACGTATCATTGGATGGGCGCCTGGTGGTAATTGCTCAGAGTGGGTCAGGGAACACCAAACCAGCATTTTGTGAAGAGTTACTAGGACCAGATACTTAGAGAATACAAATTAAAAATAAAATGAAAACCAAAATATTTTAGATTTTAAATAGCAGCAATTTGTATAAAAATCAAATACAACCACAGGTAAAAACAAACATATAAAATCCAAAAATAGTGCGTGGGCTTAAAAAGAAATAAAAAAAATAAGCGCAATAGGTAAAAATGCCAAATACATAAGTCTTTTGAATATAACCTCTAAAACTTAGCCGCACAATACAGGGAGTGCAGAATTATTAGGCAAGTTGTATTTTTGAGGATTAATTTTATTATTGAACAACAGCCATGTTCTCAATGAACCCAAAAAACTCATTAATATCAAAGCTGAATATTTTTGGAAGTAGTTTTTAGTTTGTTTTTAGTTTTAGCTATGTTAGGGGGATATCTGTGTGTGCAGGTGACTATTACTGTGCATAATTATTAGGCAACTTAACAAAAAACAAATATATACCCATTTCAATTATTTATTATTACCAGTGAAACCAATATAACATCTCAACATTCACAAATATACATTTCTGACATTCAAAAACAAAACAAAAACAAATCAGTGACCAATATAGCCACCTTTCTTTGCAAGGACACTCAAAAGCCTGCCATCCATGGATTCTGTCAGTGTTTTGATCTGTTCACCATCAACATTGCGTGCAGCAGCAACCACAGCCTCCCAGACACTGTTCAGAGAGGTGTACTGTTTTCCCTCCTTGTAAATCTCACATTTGATGATGGACCACAGGTTCTCAATGGGGTTCAGATCAGGTGAACAAGGAGGCCATGTCATTAGATTTTCTTCTTTTATACCCTTTCTTGCCAGCCACGCTGTGGAGTACTTGGACGCGTGTGATGGAGCATTGTCCTGCATGAAAATCATGTTTTTCTTGAAGGATGCAGACTTCTTCCTGTACCACTGCTTGAAGAAGGTGTCTTCCAGGAACTGGCAGTAGGACTGGGAGTTGAGCTTGACTCCATCCTCAACCCGAAAAGGCCCCACAAGCTCATCTTTGATGATACCAGCCCAAACCAGTACTCCACCTCCACCTTGCTGGCGTCTGAGTCGGACTGGAGCTCTCTGCCCTTTACCAATCCAGCCACGGGCCCATCCATCTGGCCCATCAAGACTCACTCTCATTTCATCAGTCCATAAAACCTTAGAAAAATCAGTCTTGAGATATTTCTTGGCCCAGTCTTGACGTTTCAGCTTGTGTGTCTTGTTCAGTGGTGGTCGTCTTTCAGCCTTTCTTACCTTGGCCATGTCTCTGAGTATTGCACACCTTGTTCTTTTGGGCACTCCAGTGATGTTGCAGCTCTGAAATATGGCCAAACTGGTGGCAAGTGGCATCGTGGCAGCTGCACGCTTGACTTTTCTCAGTTCATGGGCAGTTATTTTGCGCCTTGGTTTTTCCACACGCTTCTTGCGACCTTGTTGACTATTTTGAATGAAACGCTTGATTGTTCGATGATCACGCTTCAGAAGCTTTGCAATTTTAAGAGTGCTGCATCCCTCTGCAAGATATCTCACTATTTTTGACTTTTCTGAGCCTGTCAAGTCCTTCTTTTGACCCATTTCGCCTAATATGCTTAATTGGTAGTAGGCTTTCGAGCCTATACAGCTTGGAGTAAGACAACATGCATAAAGAGGATGATGTGGTCAAAATACTCATTTGCCTAATAATTCTGCACTCCCTGTATATGTAGCAACAGGTCTGAATGCTGTGCAGCAAGGGGCGTATGGAATATGGTCATGTACGGGAAAATGGCGATATTTACTAACACGCTGGATTCCATTATGTAACCAAGAGGTGAAATTAGAGGGAATAACCCCTAGGGCTCATTGCAATAAAACCACTTTTATTTGAAGATCTCTAATTTGGTATTTTAATGGAACAATGTGGAAATATTAAAATTAACTACACTGCAATTAAGTTAATTAAAATTTTAATATTGCCACATTGTTCCATTAAAATACCCAATTAGAGATCTTCAGTTGATTTCTCTAAGCTCAATTATATTTAACCAAATCAGGGTTAAGCCCTAGGGTGGAATTGGTACCAACAACACTGACCAACCCATATTGGTTAACTTTACTGAAAATTTTTTTTTTTCTTATTAATCTCCGAACGTGCACTTTTATTTGAAAAATAGGATTAAAAACACTCACACCTGGTGGAATGTAAAAGAGCTGAATAGGGGATAGTCTTTGGAGTGGGAACGTGTCCTGATACCTGTTGGAAGGATGTGAGGGATGGGAGCTGAACTGTTCGGCACCAACGGCATAATTGGCGTGCGTTCCAATTCACCTTCTGCATTCCTCTGGTTCAGCCACGCTTTCGATTTTGCTCGAACATCCTCGGGTGACTTGGAGCCCCCACTCCACGAAAGGAGTAAGGGAAATGGGGGAATTTGACCAGCTGAACACGGCAGGCGCACGATTTCGAGAAAACTGACTAGAGATTATTTTTTTCAGATCAGCTAATTTGACATTAAATTTGAATTCTCACTTTAATGAATAAGTCTGTCAGTATACTGCTCACAATGTTACAGCTTATTTCTGTTATCATGTTACATGCTTCCACTGTGGCATTTCTGGAATGAGAATAAAAATGTGAAATCAATCAATAAATACAATCTTCAGCCAGTTGAGGCCCCTCTCTCTTGTAATACTTGTTACAGAATATGGCAGTTTTTGAATTCGTTTGAATATTGGCGTTTTATTCTTTTCTCTCCCAGTTTTTTCTCTAGGAGCCACTTGGGTGCTTGCTACTGTATGAAATATTATGGAACCATGCATGTGTGAAGGTAGTGGGTACCGTGTAGTGCTAACCCATTACCTATATTTAACCTAGCCCTTTAAATAACCAGACGAGAGACGTACGGGGTGACAAACAGGCCACAGCTTTATTAATTAACAACAAATATCATTAACTCAACATATTAATATATCAGTAAACCTCAACCAAGAATACAACCTTGCCAACCAATCCCAACTATCTTGGGCGCTTGTCCTCTCCCCTTGTTCTAATCACCAAACTGGCCTAACGTCAACATCAATGCTAACCACTAGCCGGCCTTTGGCTCAGTGGGCACGTCTGTTAACCCATACCTGTACTCCTCCCCCCAATCCAAACCCTCTCCTCTATTCCCTTATCTACACCCCCCCACTAGCCTTGGCCTGTCTCCGCAGGGTCTGATATGTAAATCCATGATATGAGATTACAATCATACAGACCCAATGTATTTCAGAAACCATCTCTCTCTGGTTCTACACTTTTAGTAACTAGTGAGTCTGAAACTTAAAAGGGAACTGACACTATTCTGGGAATTCCACCATTGAAGGAAATATTGAATCACTTTTTACTTGTGTTTACCATTTTCATGAGATGCTCCATTTTTGTTTCAGTTAATCATTTAGGAAACGACACTGAAGACATTTCAGTCCAGGCACAGCCAGGCACACAATGCATATGAAGAGAAAATAAGAAACATTGTATCTGTTGCTCCTGCTCTCTGTATATAGACTGACAGGTGTAAAGACAGAATTTATAACAATGACTGACAGGGAGCCAATGGCGTCGCTCAGTCCAGGGCAGAGATAAAAACAACGTTATGAATTTCTATATGCATTTTATTTTTCAATCATTACAAACACACATTTGTGAAATACAGGCATAAGTAAACATATAAAAAATCCCAGTGGCGGTTGCCCTTTAAGACGTAATATGACACATTGTTTTAGTTCTTCCTTTTGTTTATCGGTGAAATAACTGGAATAGCTGCATTAGAAGATAGGGCTGCTTGTGACGTTATTAAACGTGAATACATCTACTAGCTGAACGAGATCCATGTATCCAACGCCGTAGTGGCCGCCATTACTTGCCAACTCTTACATTGCTAATTTCTAAAGGCTTTCTCTTCCTGCCGTAGTTCTACTTGTTCGTCCTACTGATTTTATAATATATAAAATATCTAACCTTTAAGGTCCAAGGCCTCTGATTTCAGACCAGACGCACCACATGTGCCCCGACGTTGTAACGTGTTGCCTGGACGACATACATGATGCGGAACGCTCAAACTCTATAAATTTCAATTGACATGGCACTTTTTCACAACATGTATTTTTCTCAGGACATGACTAATACATGTAACCAATCACTACACAGTATCCCGTATTGCTCTGTCGTGGTTTCTGTTTACCCAAGAGTGCGTTATATATTACTTATTACTTTGTTTTCTCACCTTGGCTTGTCTGACCATTCTTAATCTCTGTAACCCTGACTTTAGCTTGTCTGACCATTCTTAATCTCTGTAACCCTGACTTTAGCTTGTCTGACCATTCTTAATCTCTGTAACCCTGACCTTGGCTTGTCTGACCATTCTTAATCTCTGTAACCCTGACCTTGGTTTGTCTGACCATTCTTAACCTCTGTAATCCTGACCTTGGCTTGTCTGACCATTCTTAATCTCTGTAACCCTGACCTTGGCTTGTCTGACCATTCTTAATCTCTGTAACCCTGACCTTGGCTTGTCTGACCATTCTTAATCTCTGTAACCCTGACCTTGGTTTGTCTGACCATTCTAAATCTCTGTAACCCTGACCTTGGCTTGTCTGACCATTCTTAACCTCTGTAACCCTGACCTTGGTTTGTCTGACCATTCTTAA